GTTATTCCTCTTGACATCCAACTCAGGGAATTCTTGAGCTAATTCCTAAGCTAACCACCAAGTTACTGCACGTTGCCACAGCAACAGGAGTCAGCTGAAACTTTGTGACAATGTTAAATAAATCTTTGCTTTGATATAAAAATGAAACACAATTTTATTTTATTAGCTGTTTGTCATATCAAATCTAATGGTGATAAAATTCTGTGTCAAGAAGTTCCAGGCAGTGACAATAAATAAAAGCCAAGCTGATGTGACATTCCTATGCTGATGTCACCAAGCAGCACCATAAATACATACATTCCTTGGCTGGGAAGGGAAAGCTTCCAAAGTCCAAACTAGATGTACAAAATGCAAAGCACCAGCTCAGGGTCACAGCAAGAAAAATATTACCTTAGTTCCAAGTCTCATCTGAGATAAATTTGGCTACCAGAGTTCAGTATCACACAGGTAAAACAGGGATTTTTTTGAGCTTTATGTGCAATGCAAAGTTGATTATAAATTTGTACTTTTTGACCTCTAGTTATTTTTTCTTCAAGAACTTAAAAAACTAAATGAAAACAAGAAACCCACAGTCAACCAACCCACAATATAGAGCATCATAGAACCAATTCTTCATCACACAGTACTTTGTACCTGCAATAATGAGTCGTGAGAAGTGACTGCAGAGGTGAAAATGAGTGTTATAAAGCACTCCTTGACTATTCATAAACATCATGATCTCCTCCAGGGCTACATCCCACAGGAATGAACTGTGAGGAGGACAATCTAGGAGAGGGTAACTGCAAAACTTCTGCAATCTCCCAGTAACACCCACAGGTTGTTGTACAGCTCCTCTGTACCACTGATGTCCAAAACTGGAGGGTGAAGACAACAGAAAGAAAAACATCTTCAACTGTAGCCCTGTCAAATTAACACATAAATTAACGAATAAAACAAGTTCTACAGGCTTTTTTCTACCACTTTCCTAAATTCAAAGATCACAACTGCAATAAAATGTGTACTTACGACCAAAATTCTCCTACAGTGAAGACCACTTTGTTCCTTTTTTAAAAACAGTGATCTTTAATATTTGTATTTGTCTGCATAGGTGTTGTAGCAGCATTTTCTGCAGAGTGTGAAAATCAACCACTATAAATGTTATGCTGAACGTCTCCAACACATCCATCGCTCCTCTTCTCAGGAGCTTCAATTATCACAATTATTTCTCTCAGGTAGCACATACATGAAAAGCACATGAACACTTCTTCAATCCCTACAAGGAGAGACAAGTCTTGTTTAAAATCTTGCCCAGAGGCTGTTTGACATCACTGACATGTTTAACACCGTTGCTGGGAGACACTTTCAGAAGCAAACTAAAGCTCTTCTGTGTGGACTTTTAACAGCAATATTAAACAACTGGGGGAGGAAGAGCTTTCACAACAGAAATGAAAGTTTTATTATTTTCCCCCCAAGTGTTAATAAAAAGCAGTCTTGGGTGTAGAGCTGCCATCAATCCTTGGCCAGGTGTGCTGAGATTAATAATTTTCATCTGAGTTGATTTCACCACTGTTGTTACCCAAAGGCACTCAGGACTTATATATAAATATATGAAGTGGTGTTGTTCAAAGGCCAGCCCTGACCCATGAGTCTGGTTTAATTCATACTTATGTCCAGACACTCTAAATATAATTTTAAAAAAAGTCCCAAACCTGTAACTTTACCTGAACATTGTAAGTCTGGTCTGCACAACTCTTTTGCTACAGATAACAAGGCAAGAAAATCATCCAAACTTGATATGATGGACTGATGTTCTGTGCTTGAAGGGGTAACACTTGACAGAATGTAAAAATCTACTGAAAAATGTTTTCCCTCACTTGTGCTTGACAAAGCAAAGGGGAAATTTTCTTCTTGCCGAGGAAATCCTCCCTGGCCACTGTGTTTGGTGCTCTGTGTTCTGTGCAGCCCCAGCAGCAGCTAATGTTTAATTACAAAATAATTGGGTTTTCTGCATGACTCATACAATCTAAATAAAGACAAACTTGGTTGTAAATAATTCCTGTCAGCCCTCATTATGCCTCTATACATCCCTATTTTTTTCTCTTTCATGAATCAGACTATTAGAATAACATTAGATAAATTATCTGAACCACTGACTCATGCAAACCAAAGTGCTCAGTTCTGTTGTTCCTACAGAAAATATGGCTTTAGTATTCAGAACTCAGGATCTTTCTGCTTTTTGAGGTCCCAGTTATTACCACAACATTATCTGTACTTCAGCTACACACCATTTCCTATAATTACTTAATAATTATCCACATTCATATTATGGAGTGTAAAGGGATCCAAGGATTTGCTCGACAAAAGTGATGTGCAATAATGAAGGTTCCACTGGAGAAGGTTATGCTGGAGATCATCATGTGGAAAACATTTCTCTATCAGATGATGAGACACAAAATCACAACCAGGCCCCTGAAAATACAATAAATACAGTTAACTGTATCCTACCATGTTGGACAGAGGTTTCACCAACCTGCTTGGAAAAACTGTTGTGTCTCCTAGGCTTGAGGCCCTAAAATGAGCTGTATCTCACCAGCTTGGCTGCTTTACCTGCTTTAAGTGCTGCAGCCAAGTGCCAGCCCAGCCACAGGGGGCTCTGGGACTTGCAAAACAAAACCACTACTGAAATTGTGGTTTAATCCAGAGATGGGGCTGAATAGTTCATTTAAACACTAAGAGACCCTTGGCTAACATTCTAAATGCCCTCAGATTAAAGTAACAGCACTTTTGTGGCACATTTCAGCTTTCAGAGGCTTTACAAACATCACTCCCTTGACAACACAGAGAATGACAATAAAATATCTGCATTCTGACAAAGATATTTAAAAATGTATAGTCAAGTGCAGCTAAATGATTCATGACATGTACAGAGTGCACAGAGCATCAGGTTTTCATGGACTTCTACTATCTGACCCAGACTCAAGCAAACACAAGCAGAGTAAAGCAAACATTACTGTAGAAAACAGAAATTTCCAGTCTACCAAAAAATACTTAAAAGATGGGGTGCTAAACAGAGTAAGTGCTAACTGAAAACCAATTGAAAATACTCACAAGGGAGGAGAAAGGTGACTGCTGTCAAATACTTTCAAGTAACTGCTGTACAATCTGCAAATTAACTTTTACAATGAGAACTTAGGGATAAAACAGTGTCTCCTGCATGTTCTCTTTTACGCATATAAAAATACCAAATGACAGCCTGGCAGAATATTTCTGTAAATTACAAAAGTTCAGAAACTAATCTGAAAAATTCTGTTGCACAATGACTTGCCTGACTTGCAAACACAGTCCTCCAAACCACGCAAGGAAACTGGACACCCCAGGTGCAAAAAGGCACCTACATTTATGTGGTAAGGACTGAGTAAATGGGCCAGAGGATCACACATGTAATAGAAAATAAGGAGATGGTAGCATAAAACAAGACCTCTGGCCCTCCCAAGGACACTTTAACATCTTTCCCTAAACATCAGCACTGGATATATGGATAACTACACTTTTAGGAGCAAAGAACAGCAGGGATAATGCCAGCTCTCCACACCTTGCCAGGGCAAGGGGGTTGGCACCAGATCAGCTTTAAGGGCCCTTCCAACCCAAATCATTCTATGACTCTTCCATAATGAAGCCATATCCATACTGTGTCCTACCTGGAAATTCCAATCCTTTGAAATGCTTTGACATGCTCAGAACAGCAGTCACTCAGCAGGGAATTTTAAACTGGTACCCACCAATGAATGATCTGAGATCCCTGCAGCCAAAGCTTCACTTCACTAAAACCAGCAGTGGCACTCCCAGCCTGGCATGGCCTTGCCAAAAAAAAAACCCACGGCATTCCCAGTTCTTTGATGCCATCTGCTGGGTGCTGCTCGTTATGGATCAAACTCCAGCAGTTTTCACCTGGGAAAAAACATCTTCAACATTTTCTTTGGGTTATAAAGCCCATTGGATGTTGGATAATACACCAAATGTGCCCCAGAGAGAGCAGCAGTTGCCATGGCTGCAACAACCACACTGTACCTAAGAGGAGCTGAACCATTCACTCAGGAAATAAGGAAAAATTTGTGCTTCCTGAGGCACAGGCTTGAATTAAAACCACAACATTCACACTGTTTGAAGAGGAGATGCTGCACCACTGGCACGTGATAGGTTGGTATTACTCATTTTAAAAAAATATACTTATCTCATACTCTGATTATTCCTATTAAGAACAACAGCTGAAGGTTAATATTTGGCAAACTGAATTTTCTGTCCACACTGTTTTGGGAGATAGCTTAGAAAGATGATTTAAGTGTGCTAAGATTTAATTTTTAAAAGTCAAGTCCCAATGAGCAGGTGGAGCAATACATTAATCAAAGCAGCCAAAGTCCAAAAGTGAGACAGCACCTTTCTTTTTTTAAGGTTGTGAGGAGTCAGCCAATTAAGACATTTAAAAATTACATTCAACTCCACCTAGCGATGGAGGTGTAGTTTCAGAGACCGATGCTGACATAGCAACATCGTCTAGGAACAATTCTGCCATCAATTTGGTCTATAAATGTGGATTTAGAAACAGACTGATGAGGAGAATTAGAAGTTAAGACTCACCACTGTGACTTACAGCATCTTTTGTGATTCTAAATATAAAGCAGAAAATGACTGAATATAGTGACTCCAAAAGCTTTTCTTCAATGTGAGCTTTAAAAATCCTTCCTTTCTCCTCTGACAATTTGCTGCCACATTGTGCACCAAGTTATCAGTGTAAACACTGACTCCTGAGCTGCCTGAGCTCAGGGACTGAAACACAGAAGATGCATTTAGTATTTCCAGGAGGGCTGCTAAAACCAGCTAAAGAGCATCACAGCTGAATCCTGCCCTCTGTATCACAGAGAAGCTTTTGTCAAACAGCCATCACGGTGCAAATCAAAACTTCCCCATTCCTGTTGTTTTTATACTTTACCATTGTCAGGAGTGGAAAACAAGACCAAGGAAACTATAATACATGCCTGACTTTATTACTTCAATAAACAATGCAAATATTCCAATCTTGATGCTTTACCAACAGGCTTTCCTGAACAAATAAATAACTGCAGTAACCAAAATATGAAAGTTCTCATTAAATATATGGAACCTAAGACAGGAAAGTAAAAAAGAAAAACACAAACCAAAACAACCAAAAAAAACCCAAAAAGAAAGTGGTGGATTTTTTTTTCAAATGTAATTGAAAACAATGTTATCAAAACATTTAATAAACTAAGGAAAAAATGTATGTTGTATTTAGAAAAGCTTTAACTGTCCTCAGCCTCAAGATTTATGTTGTTTCCAAACTTTGCATAGAGCTGCACTTTGAGGTCAGATAAGACCCTCTGAATTGACTCCACTCGGGATTCCAACGCTTCGATTTCTTCTTGTAAACTTCTCTGAAAGATTAAAAAAAAACCTCAATCAATTATGTAAACCAAAGTCACGTTTGTCACAACACACAACCAACCAAGAGGTGTCCCTGTGCCAGCTGAGTGCCCAGTCAGGCTGCAGATTTCCTGCTGGGCCAACGGCTGGGGTGACTTTGTATCTGACAGCCCAGCTGGGACTTACCTAGCACACAAACTCAAATCCTACATCCACTCCCCCCCCACCAAATCCCAAATCCAACATCAACTTTAGGAAGTCAAAGGTTGACGGGATGGACAGATCACCCCAGTGCAGTGCTCAGCACACACACACAGAGCAGCCAAGGAGCTCCCGTCTGCCCAGACACACCTTTGCCTCCTCCAGCATCTCCTGTGTCTCCTCCTGGGAATGACTGATGAAGACATCCCCAATCTGGTAGGGTATCAGAAGGGAATCTGCATCATCCAGCATCATGATGTCATCACAAGCATCTTCCAAGTTCTGCAGTTGTTTCTAATTATCAAGAGATAAGAGAGAGGCTCCCTTTGTACCAGGTCAAGTGTTTCAATGCACACAGTTGGATAAGGAACTCAGTGTCGGGTAAGGAACACTTATGTCATGCCACCAGTTGGACCAGGAACTCAGTGAGTCTGGATTTGGGGCAAAAATCCCACCCACCAGCAAGATATCCAACGGAACAGTTCCAGAGCTGTAATTTAGCATCAGTATTAAATTCAATCCAGTAGAAATTCCTAGTCAATACTCGTGATCTGTCATTAATTAACTGTCTAGACAAGGGAAATACAGCAGATTTAAATTTCACTAATATCTGATATGCTCTTACACAAGATTTTTTAATTTAGCTAAAGAACAAAAAGAAAAGTATCTAAAATGGCAAATGTAAATTACTCAGGAGCTGCAAGAACTGCTTGCAGAAAGGTACTGGAGATCTTTATTTCTCATTACTTCTCTTCCACTTTACCATTCTCTGTTTTCAAAGTATCAGAAACCCCAAATTAGAATCAAAGCATTACATCAACCCACAGCAACCCACACCACCTATTTTCTCTTACAGCTGAAAACTGATTCAGGGCAATGAAGAATATGTGATATCTGAAGCAAAGATACCTTTTTCACTTCTATTTCTTCTTTCAGCTCTGTGATCCTGCTGGTATTTCTTGCAAACTTGTTAATTTTCTGCTGATCTTCAAAGGTGACATTGACATCTTCTGCAGCCTGCAAGGAGGAGAGGGCAAAATGAGCACTTCATTTCTTATATTACCTTGGGTCTCACTACCAGATTACTCCTATAAAGCTTCTGAAAGAGTCTCGCAGCTACTACACTGTGCTTATACACCTGATTCTTTAAAATGCCTCCTGAAGGACGTGAGAAATACCCACATTTAGCTGGGTAACACCCAATCAAAACACCAGCCATCCACGGCATCCTAAACCCAAGGGTTTCCTGGACAGGGCTGGCACCTGAACAGGACACTCAGCTCCAAAATCCCTGCAGGAACAGTGTAACACATCCATGGGCTCTGTCAGCAACACATTTTATGTGGTTAGCTGGGATGTGCCACAGAGGATTTTAAGCCGATACCGACCGGGGGTTCTGGGCACAGCCTGGCCCGGCGTGGGGCCAGGGCACGGACCACCCGAGCCCGGGGCTGCGGGGGCAGGGACAGGCAGCAGAGGGCCTCGGGGAACCCTCGGTCGGAGGGAGCGGCCGGAGAGGGACCCAATTCCCCCGGGAAGGGAATAAATCCCACCAAGAAAGAGCCAAACCCCGGCGGGCCCTGCCCCGCACTCACCGCCTTCTTCATGGTGGCGGCCATCTTGGTCGGGCTGAACCACCCACCCTGCGCGCAGAGGGGGAGCTGTGGATTGGGGAAAAAGAAGGAAAACAAGGAAAAAGGCCTGGCAGCGGATAATCTGCGAGGATCGGGGCTTCTCCTTCTCCCTATCTCCCTCAGCACAGCAGCGTGGCCGAAGGACAGAAGGGGCACGGAATGAAGGTGCGCCCATCCCCGCGGCGCTTGGTACGGCCCGAGAGCAGGGGAGGGGCCTCTGCAGGGGGAAAGAGAGCGCTGGGGCCGCCAGGGGGCGCCATGAGACGGGAATGGGATGGGATGGGATGGGATGGGATGGGATGGGATGGGATGGGATGGGATGGGATGGGATGGGATGGGATGGGATACCCTCCCATGAGCTGCAGTTGAAAGCTCTTAGACTAAGATCATGGACAGTCCAGGGCCCTGGACAGCGTAGTTTAAAAATGTCTGGCTTTGGAAGAAGGTTTGGGAAGCTGGGTTGGAGCCTGGAACTCCCTGAGCAGTGTCTGCAGAGAGTCTGTATCTTGCTATGAGCCAGGACCTGACTGGGGTTAGTGTTTGGTCCCAGGCAGTTTGACTGCTGACCCCAGAGCTGCTGAGAATGTCCTCCAGCAGTCTGGAGCCCCAAGAACAAACCATTCCCTGAACACACAGTTTATTACCTTTCTTTCTCCAGCTGTGCTTTAAAATCCCAATACTCTGATTCCATGCAGTGGTCTGGTTCCCGTTCCTGATCTGGGGGCTGATGCACTTCCCTGCTGCCTGATGACACCCAAAATCACATCTCCCCTCCTTTCCTAACACCTGAACCATAAATACCTCAGGAGGTTATCCAGTGACCACTGCAATGGAAAATGCAGGAATAGAGTGTGTTTGCTCCTGATAGAACCCCTTGTTGCTGAGGGAAAACCCAGTCCTGCCTCTGCAGGGGAATCCTTGCACCATAAAACCTCATGAAAGTCCATTCCAAAGGGGATCCGTGGAGAGCAATAAAAGACAACACCCAAGAGAGGAATGGGTGTATATTTTAAAAGTTTATTATTGCCATGAGAATGGAGAGTTTGGGTTCCTGCTTTATTCCTTATGGAGATGGATCTTACACCAGTTGTGTTCAGCTTCATTTCACAGTTGAGCTGCTTTGGGAGCTCCTTCAATAACTGCTTTTGGCTGAATAAATTAAAGAAAGTCGCACCTACTCGTGGGAAAGATCGCAGCAGGTTTACCTTAAAAATTTCAGATGCAGAAAAATACTCCGTAATATAGAAAAATGCTCTATAATATTATATTCTATAATATTTACTGAATGAAAAACCTTTGGGATTTTTTGTTTGGTTTTTTGTTTGTTTGTTTGTTGTTTGTTTTTTGTTTTTCAGTTCAGAATGACTGCTCAATTCAAAACTCCTGTTACAAACCAGGAGAAAAAACAGAATAAAAAAAAATATTTTGATTTTGGTTGTCCCTCAGGCTCATTGTTGCATTTTATTTTGGTGCATCATTTTGCCTTGTTTCCCCACCAAAGGGGAAAAAAATTTATCACAAAAATTCTCCTTAGAGAATTATACTATTATTAATTTATATAAAACATAAGCCTATTTCTGAGCCTATTTTCTCAGAGAATAAACTCTCATCTCTTTGGTCATTCTCCTACTCTTCCCTAAATCATCTGTCTTCTTCCTTCTCAAAGATCCTCCTAGGAAAGGATAAACCATGGTTATTTCCTCGGGTGGATTAACTGAATAATACATGTCAGGTCTGAGCCAATGCAATTTCCTTCAAGAGAAAAGGAGTGGATTTCGTAAGAATTCGATGACTCGAAGGCTTTGAAAATAAATCTTTTTCTCCCACATGCTCAGGCAGGATTTGTGGGGGGAGCACGTTGCCAAGAGTAACTCACTGGAGCCCTTTCTTATGTAAATAAAAGTGAAAACAGTGCACGAGTGCAAACATCCAGCGGTGGAGTAACATAAACCCACTGAACTCGGTGACCTCATTTCTCTTTCAGTTGCATAAAAGGACTTGCTCTTTCTTGTGCTGGCCCTTGTTGTTGTTACTGGTGTGGTTGCCTTCACCTTGTTCTCTGGTGGGATCCCTTCCACGCCGTCTGTACCCTCCACACCCCTCATCTCACGTCTCCTTTGTGGTTCTTTGCCACATTTCCACGTTCCTTGCGTCAGCCTTTCGCCATCCAGCTCAGTGGGAAAGATTCTCCTCGTGCTCTTTTCTGCCTGAGTTGTTTTGAATGACCAAACTCTTTCCCCCTTTCCCTGAGCCTTCTCATCTTTGAGCACCTTGGAGCACCCACGTGCCAACGGTGCTTGTTAACACCAGATGCACTGGAAATGGAGAAAACGTAGTGGAGATGAAGCGGTTGGTTTATCGCAGGTTTGGTCTTTATGAAGTGGATCACTTTTAGCAAAAGCCACAGAAAATTATAGCATTTTAATTGTGCCAGTACACTGAAGGAGTGCAGCTTCCACATCATGTAGGGACAGGGATGGCAATAGCCTGACATTTCCAATATCAGAGAACCTGATTTATTGTGGAATGAAGGTCCTTGTGCCACAGTGTCTGTCTGCCCTTCTTGTACCAACATTACAGGGGGAATGGAGGTTCAAAGAACAAAATCCCCTTCCGAGGGTGTTCTTCTTTTCCAAAAGGGCATTTCAGTTTTTAATGATACAACTCCCAAGTGTTTATAGGTCAAGTTCCCCCTGATCTGAAAGTTTTTCACTGTTTCGTGATCTGAGGGAAGGAAGTCAGATTTTCTCACATTTCTAAGCTCGTTCTTTCAAAGAAAGAAGATCCTTGCTGTTTGTCAAAAGCAACATCACCCTTTCACCCTTGAAGGCCTCACCTATGTTCATGTATATCCAGCATTAGTTATTGAACTGCATTAGGTTCTTCCTGCAAGGAATACCAAAAATCTTCCCCCTCTCTGAGGGAAACTTGTCCTTGTCCTACCCAATGCTTGGCAGATGGTTCTGCAGAGTCAGCTGGACCTGTGGAGCCAAGGGGAGTTTCTGTTTGTGCCTGAGATGGAAGCTGGAGATTCCCTTTTGCTGGGAAATCCCTTCATGGTTAAGCACATTAAAAGACCTTTACTCCACCTTTGTGAACAGCATATTCTGTAAACACGGTGCTTTACAATCCCATAATTCTGTCCCAGCAGAACAGTTGTTGTTGCTTCATGTTGGGTTTATTTAAAATAAAAGGTAAGAGCTCTTCTCTGCAACCCTGCCCTTCCCTAGCACTGCTGAGAATATTCTAGAGTCTAAAATATTAGCCCTATATCTCTCTTACTCCACAATCCATCTTGTTCCATAAATGTTTCTAGTGGTGGAACATCTCTCAGTTTTCCAAGAACTTCTTTGTGGCCTGTACTGAAAGTCTCTCTGCAGGGCCTTCAGCTGCAGCATCAGTCTTGCCTGTGTTTTTTTTAATTTGGTTATTCATCTTCAATGATAACTACTCCCAAACCACCTGAAATTAAGTCTTCATTTACACCCATAAAGGTAGAAATAATTTCCTTTTCAAGAGAAGCACTGTCAGTGCCAATTTCATAAGTCACTATGTATTTATTGAAAAATACACCTAAGGAGGAGTAAAATCCTGTTCCCTCCACGACCATCATCCCACTGGATTCCCTCACCTTAACACAAAACTAATTTATTTGCCACTGAATCCAAAGCTATTTCTGAACTCTCAGAGATCTATCAGTAATATGTCCTGTCTGTAGTGTTACTCATAATTTTTAATGTGTACAAGTCTTTCTTTCTCCTTTTTTTCCTCCTTTATTTTTTCCCTCTGGATGGGGAAAGTGTTGTCAGAACCACAGTAGATTTTGGGAGAAGAATCTTCCTCAGAGATACATCAGATGTGCTCATTTGCTGCTCTACCAAATAGAGCAATAAACACATAAAAATTTTCCCCAGGGCAGTGCTGCATTCAGTGAATCTGAACCAAAACCCTTCCCCAGAGAGGTCTGTGCCCAGGCATTGGAGCTGAAATAACCAGCAGGATTTCAGGCAAAGGCTTTATCTGATGACCCACTGCTGCAGTCTGCTCTAATCCCTCCAAAAGCAATGAATAGGAGGAACCAGGATGTGGCCCAGAGGGTATTGAGTTCACCCAAGCACAGCCCAAGTGCCTTTTGACTGACTAATGGCAAAGGCAGAGAAACTTTTCATATTTTCTTTGGGCTCTAATGAAGACAGAAGCAAAATGCCCTCAGCTCACAGCAATTCACTGGATAAAGTTCAAACTCATCTCTTTGGGGTTTTACAGAAGTAATTCTGGATTAATAGCATCTTTTACATATCTGTTAGAGCTTTCATCAGAGAAGGGTTGTTTCACCCTTCCCCCTTGCCCTGGCATGAAAAAGCAGTGCTCCATAATAGTAAAAACCATTAAAAACCTCCCTATTTATTGGCCATTTCTGGGAAATTTAGAGACCAGGTATTAACACCAAATAGTAATCTTGGGTAAGATGACGATGATGATACTAATAACTCGCTCTCCTCCCCTCTGAGCACTTGCAGAGGACTAAGCTGGGATAGTGTCACTCAGAAGGAATTGGCTACCAATGGCACAGAAGGTGCTACCAGCAGTTGGGGCTCTGGGTTCTGTTCTAGCTCAGGGGACAGGGACTGTTTGCTTAGTCCCTAAATCCACCTCCTCAGCCATCTTTCTGTTACTGGCAAGAGTTCCAGGTGCTAATTTCATGAGAGCATCACTTATTATCTTGGTATTTCAGGGCAATTTAGACACCAGAGATTAATATCTGTGAAACTAATTCCAGAAATACAACACAAAATAACATGAAAGACTATATTCACATAATTATCCTTTATGAGACTTTGTAACATGTCAACAGAAGAACAACAAATATTTATTTCTGGAAGATAAATGTAAGCAAAATGTGCAAGAACAACAGAGTTGTTTTCTTTTCTTTGACAAACTGGTTGGTAGCATCTCATTGACATAGAGGTCAGCAAGAAACAAGAATCTGTTTGCTTTTCAAAGGCTCGGTATGAGATCAGTTTTACCTCAGCAGAAACATCCATCAGATCGAAAGTAAAATGATCTGTGCAAACATTATGGACTTAGTCAACAAATCCAGTAAATTGCATGAGTTTGAGTCTG